TCAGACTGTAAATGTGAATTATCTACGCCATGCTATAATGTCGGATTCAGAAAAAGATGTTGAAATGTCTGAAAGGTCGGACACAGGCGAGAGCGTATCGGGAGACGGAGACCAACAAGACCTCCCTCATCCTTGGATCTATCTCAGAGAATTATTCGAAAATAGTCGAAAAATTGAGCTTTCAATTCATATAGTTTCATCTGGCTTCTTTTTTAAAGGTTACTTTATACTTTTATACTTTAGGATGTTTTAGGAGCACATCCTTTTTCACTTTTACTTGAGTAAAGAGGTCAAGTTGATACTTCAACTTTTACTAGAGTGTTTTTAAACTGCAGTATCTACACTTTTACTTAAGTAACAAATGTGTGAACTTTAGACACCGCTGACCATTTGCAATGCACCCATTGACCACTAGGGGTACGAGTATCCCCAGATGGGACTCACTGGTGTAGATCATGCTTCCAGTACATATTGGGTAGTAACAGGTTCCTCCCTCAAAGTGACAAAAGTTGACATGAGAGGACAGAAACAGGTCCACATGTCGGCTGGACAGGATCTACAGGAGCATAAATAGCATGCTGAGAACTCAGAGGAGGAGCATGCACCATGAATAGAACATTCTCATTGTATATCTGTGTTTTGAATAAAACTGCTCTTATGATAATTTGTGTGGCAGAAATCTGATTTCATACATCCAGGTAAAAGTGTTGAACCACGAGGTACAAAGACTATATGCTTTCCATAAACCGGATGAGCTATGAACCAACTATAAAAACACATCACTGATACTTTCACCATGCTAAGAAAATCCTCTTGTCTGCTTCTGTCTTCTTGAACCCCAGACGGCCTCAGCAGATGGCCGCTAACACTGAGTCTGGTTCTGCTGGAGGTTTCTTCCCGTTAAAAGGGAGTTTTTCCTCTCCACTGTCGCTACAAGCATGCTTAGTGTGAGGGATTGCCTTTGAATCAATGAGTCGATGCAATCCACTGGTTTTCCTTTGATAGAAAACTTTAAATCAATCTGAATGGTTGATCTGGTGAACTGTAAAGTTCCTTAAGACGACATGTGTTGTGAAATGGTGCTATAGAAATAAATTGAATTGAATTTTTATAAACACCAAAGTTTTCATGGAAAGCAGATTTGTATACTCTTATACTCCTCAATAACCCTATGAAATTTCTTAATACTTAAGTTATAATCCAATTTTGCACAAAAAGATGTGTCTAAAATATGACCTCAAGTTTCATGAATTCCTGAGAATCAGTTTCTACCCCTCCAGTAATAGTGTTTGCCCTGCAGGTGAAGCTTTATAATTCCCATTTAAATAGTTTAGACTCAATTCATTAATTCTTGCTGAGTGAGAAACACAATATTTGGTTTGAATTTTCACACTGAAAACACAACTTCCAACGTTTTGTATGAAAATAAAGCAACACTGCAACACTTTCAAGGAAACGAAACAAGAGGGAGGGATTGACTCTCTGGTGTCAAATAATTACAGCTGGAGAGCAGAGAAAATACAGGATCATCTGAATATTAAAGACATAAAACATCTCAAGAAGCAAAACTCGCTAAGAAGTCTCTACCTTTAAACTAAAGAGAGTTTTAGTATCAAATGAGCCAATCCCACAGAAACTAGTGACAGAGAGCGATACGAGGCATGAGACTTTCTTTTTGTCGGCTAAAACAAACAGGAAGTGCCTGATCATAAAGTGGCTGTTCTCACTTTTTTGTATCCTTCTGTATGAAGTTTTCATGCTTCAATATTGAAAAAAAAACAATGTATTATTTTGAGCAATTCAGTGTTTTAGTAGTAAAAATTAAGACACATTTCATAACTAACCTTTTTTTTGTCCATAGATCTGCTTAAGATATGTGGGCCTTCTAAATGTATAGCATAGCATCAGGAAATGAGGCACCTCTGACCAATAAACCACAGCGTTTCACCTAGAAACCATTTGAAATGAAAATGAGTGAACTGATGTTCTCATTCACACGCCTTTGCTTCAGTGGCTCTATATAAGTTCACAAAGAAAATAGCTGTAATTTACTTTGTGAGATTGAGTCGATGATAACAGAGCAACACACAGGTCAAAGGAAGGTTCAGCCAAGGAGAGGCCGAGGAAGAGCCTCTACCTGAACTCAGAATGATGTCACTCAGTTACTCTCAAACCTACTTCTTTTTTTATTTAATCATGTTTTTTTTTTCCTTTCTGGAATCCATATTTTTCGAACTTCCATTCCCAATCATCTTCTTATGCTTGCAAAAATATTGTAACAAAATAAACTCTATAAATCAAACCAAAAGCAGAGTAAGAAAAATATTTGACAAAATATTGATTGAGCCATTTGCTGTTAAGACACTTTACTCCTTAGGGACCACAAACTGTGGCATCTTCCTGATGCAAAAATCCCTTTTAGGTTTTTCCTGTCAAGTTTTAGAATATGTAGAAATAAACACATTTATTAGTCACATTTATCTGTCATCTATCTGTATCATCTATCTGTATCATC